TGATACTAATATTTCTACTAGTTTCACTTATATATTATCATGTTGAATTTCCAATCATGGTTCTCTTGTTTGTTCACTTAGAGATATATCTATCCCCTCTTGAACAATCAAGGGAACAGTGGATGAAACTTCTAGAGATTCTGGAAATTCTTGATCTGAGATAAATCTCATCAAGAATAACCTAACTTAAGAGCTTATAATTTCTTATCTAGTCCTCCTTTAAGAAAATCATGTGAGTGCTCACTTAGATTATCTTGTCCTTAAGACTAAATAAGAAATCATCCCTAGTTCTCTTAGGGTAGCCAAAAGATATGCACTCTTCCATACAAGATTACATCTCATTTGACTACTGCTGTAGGACGTGTGCCGTAGCACCCTAAATCCGAATATGGTTTGATCTGGGCTTGCACCCTTTCCATAATTCTTTAGGTGTCTTTACAACAAACTTTGACGGAACCAAGTTAAGAAGGTTCATTTCCTTCTCTTAAGCATCTCCCTTGAACAACATTGACAAAGATGAATAACTGAACATGATCTTCACCAAGTCTAGAAATGTTTGATTTTTGCATACTGCAACTTCATTCAACTAACGCGTTCTTAGAGTTGACAGTTACGAAAACTATCCCCTCTTAAATCAGGTAAGACCTGAAATTACCAGACAGGTAGCCAACACTTTAGTCAGACCAAAGTGGTTTGATTTGAACACCTACATGCTTTTCTGCCTCAGACTTAAACCTCTTGGAAATTTCCAAAAGCTTTAGACTTATAGCGCACTTGGTTCATCTGTCCAAATCCAAGGTAAACATTCATATAATGAAGTACTCATCACCTCTTCTGGTCTGAACGCTAAGTGGTCCACATACTTTAGTATGTACCAGTTCCAGTTGAATAGTTACGCAAAACCTTTTTGACCCTTGTAGGATTGCTTGGCCATTTTACCTTCCAAATAGGACTAACATGTAGCTGTTAGTTAAAAGATTCTTGAACTTTCAGTCTCTCTTTTAACTAAAACATGTTTGCTACTTGAGATCATGTGACTCAATCACAAAGGCCAAAGTTGTTTCATTTGAAACTTTTATTTCTTTGGTGAAAATCCTTGTTCATCATCCTTTCCATTCAACACAAAAATTTAGGGGGTATAGGACAAAGGTAATAAAGACTATTTAAACAATGTACCAGAACAAAACAAGACGAAGATGAACTTCGAAATGTAACTGAGGAATCAATTGCATTGTCAAACCGTGTTTTAACCAAAACAACTAACAAAAATTGAATTTCTCTTGAAATCTGGAACAAATAAACAGTCACCCAAAACCATAGTCTTATAAATAACTTGTCCTACTGCAAATGCAGACACAAGTTCCCATTTTCAAGCTTAAAATATCTATGTCCATTGCTGACAGGTATGCCATGTTTGAACTACTACAAAGAGTAACAAACATAATCAGTGATTCCTGAATCAATAATTCATTCACTGATCAGGCCTTGATATGCCCATGTCAGGTTCTTTTCATCACCTATGGGCAATTTTTCTTTCAGTATCCCTTCAGTCTGCACTTGAAGAACTTGCCTTGCGGCTTCTTCATAGCAACTGGTTTGACAACTGATAACCAAGTCATTTTGTTCTTGTTACCACCCTTGGGTTTCCCTTTGGATTTAACAAGACTCTTAGCAAAACCTGCACCGACTGCATTCTGTGCTGCTAGACGCAGCAAACATGTCATTAAGAGTCTGAAACATTTCTACTCCACTCTTAATCATGTACACTTGCTTCTGCAAGTATTTGAAAAGACTGACAATAATATAGTAGCGAACTACCATATCTGCCCTTTCCTAATATGAGAAATGCATCTTAGTTTCCTTAGACGCATCCTCTGCAGGTTGCTATGGCCCTCGCATTGTCAGGACAAATTTTAGCTTCCATGTTTTAGAACAATATCAAAGATTTGCTTTTCACTTATTCATAGTTGGTACCATCTAGAGGTTTTCGACTCAAAATCATTTCTAAGATATTTTCTGAAAAACATATAAAGCACACAATTACAAACAAATAATGCAATAAACAAACGAAGTGCAAGTAGATTCTCATAACTACTCTTGTTTATTGTTAACAATCCTTCAGTTTATCTTTACAAGGCTTACGATGGGCAAGTCACTTGTAAAAACCAAAATTGTTATTTGGGCCTTCAGTGCCATTGCCAGAGCCTCGATGGGAGGGTTAACAATTTTACCAAAATTGAATGTAATTAACCATTGTTTAATTTCAAAATTATCCTTAGTGTCTAAGCATTGCCGACGATGGGTCGTACAATACTTTACTAGAATTTTGAAATTATTAAGATTTAATCTAATGAAATCTGATTATCCTTATCCGATGGGGCTTCAGCGATAACCATTTCACTAATAAACCCACAAATGGAGCCCGCAGGTTTTAAAATTAATAAATTTTTAAAACCTTCACCCATTCAACATTTTTGTTTGAGAATTTTCATAAGCCCAGTTGAATTCATTGTTTAATTTCAAAATTATCTTTAATAACTTAGTATTATCGACGATGGGCCGTACAATACTTTATTAAAATTTTGAAATTATTAAGGCCCAATAAAATCCAATCATGCTAATCCGTTGGGGCCTCACATGATTATTTTATTGATAGGTCCACAATGCGCCTGGGGGTTAAATTAATTTCTTAATTTAAATCTCCTCCCATAGATATTTAAGTCCAATCTAATAAAATCCAATCATGCTTATTCGATGGGACTTCACATGATTATTTTATTAATGGTCCTATAATGCGCTTGAAGGTTAAATTAATCTCTTAATTTAAATCTCCTTCCATTCAACATAAGCAACATTTTCTAATTTCCAAGAATTATTTAATTGAGAGTATCCTTTGTTTGATTTCAAAAACTATATAAGTAAGAGCGCCGATAAACGTGCACTAAGCTTAACATAATTTTGAAAGCATTAAGGTCCTGAAATCCGGTCACTTTACGTCAGTGTGTGCTCCAAACAATCATGATACATGAATGTTGTATGCAGCGTGTGTTATTCCATGACCATTTCAGAAAACCCACAAATTACTCGCAAAATAAAAGAATTCTCTTAGGAAATTTTCTCTAATTATTTTTCTAGATTTAAATCATCCAAATAGCTGATTTAATTATTAATCTAGATTGCAACAATCATAATAATTATCATTTATGAGGATAATTTGAAATCAAAATAATTTCCATAACGATTATTTGTCTTGATGTTAATTATCCAAAATTAATTAATTCAATTATTAATCTAGATTTTTAATAAAAATCATAATAATTATTAATTAATTTCTTAGGATGATTTAAAATCAAAATAATCCCATAATAACTATCATACTAGTCGCTGAAGACATAATAGCTATTATGCTCATGCAATCATACAAGTTATGCAACAATATGGCACCACCTATTCTATATGGCATGTTATCGCAATAAAGCATGTTATCAATCATATAATTTATACCAATCAATAAAAGCATTAAATAATAAAATCTAATTACTTTAATCCATGGCTTTCCTATTTTAAAGAAAATAAAATTAAATAATACAACTTTGGAATTCGACTTTCGCCTAGCCCATAGTATCTGTCTCAAGCCCCTTTAGGGTTTCATGGGCCCAAAAGCCCAAAGACCCAATCCTTTGGCGAGAAACCCTAGGACACGAAAGAGAAACTCTAGCCGTCAGGTCTGCCGCGCCGTCACCCGAAGTCAAATCAAGCTGAAACTCCAGGGGAAGGACCGCCACGTAGAGACGAGTGCACCGCCGCCGGAATCACCCAAAAAGGTGGCCGGACGCTCCTTCACTCTCCCATTCTTTGCCGGAGAGTGGCGGCCACTCTCAGAATCTTGTGGAGGCGCGTGGAGGCGCGTGTAAACTCAGATGGCGGTAAGCCACCCACCGTTGAGTTCGTCTTTCCGTCCTCTTTCCAACCATATATAGATCGCCTCATTCCGAGATCGGGAAGACCTCAAAAAGTCTCCGACAGTTCTGACTGCGCATCTTACTCGCGGTTTCTCGATCTTGAACTTTTACAAAATATTTGAAAAATACACAGAAATTCCAAAAATAAACAAAAACAGCAAGGAGGAAACCTAATCATATGGGATTAGCCTCCTTGTTACAAATCGAGAAATACACGAGAGATCCTAACCATGGATTAAAGCATTTTTACCGATTAAAATTTAAACTTTTATGAAAATGAATTATAAAATACACATGCTAGATTCATACCATAATCCTAGAACCCTAGGTGCCACATTTCAAGAAGCAAAACTAATTACATGAATAGTGAAACTAGATTCACATACCAATGTACAGCCAAGGCTCTGATACCAATTGTAGGAAATCTTAGATTTATGCGGAAGCGGTTTAGGACCTAGTACATTGGTATGCTTACCGAATCATCCTTGTTTCACAATTACCTCTCGGTGCGCAGGTCTCGTGTAGAATCTTCCCTTGTAGGATTCCTCTTCACGAACAGCTCACCTCAGTGCCGCAGCACGAACAACCTCCTTGAAGCTGGACTGTGGCAGATCTTCCAAACTATCTCTCGAGGAGGAAGGGGAAGTGTGTGGGCACTGATTAGATTATGAGCTTGCCTCTTTCTCACAAAGAAGACCTTAGAGGCTGATGACTTAAGAGGTACTATTTATATGGGTTCCAAGAAACCCTAGCTCATTGGGCTCTAGGTTCCTTGGGCTCTTCTCATACTAATAACCCATTTGGGCTTTAGTAAAAGAGCAAACCCAACAATATCAGAGTAATTCTTTCATACTATAGAAAAAATTCAAATGGGACCCATCATTTAAAAGCAAAAAAAAAAAGATGTAATTTTCGAAGTGAGAGAACATCAGATAATTTCACGTAAAATGAGAATAATATTTCCGTTTTACAAAGCCTATATAATAACTGACAATGCTGTACCCGATTGTGCATGAGAAAAGAACTAGAATTTCTAACATGGCAAGCTTAAGGGTTTCCATTTCTATATTGACTTTGTATCTGAGCACTTTCATTCTCAACTCTGTTCTCTCACTTTCCAAATGCAGCACCTACCTGCCAGAGAACCACAGAGCCCTATTCATATTCGGAGACTCACTATTTGATACTGGAAACAATGATTACATCAATGCCACCACTTTTCTTCAGGCTAACTATCCCCCATATGGGGAAACTTTCTTCAAGTATCCCACTGGAAGGTTTTCTGATGGACGTGTAATACCAGATTTCATTGGTTTGTTTCCACTAACTAGTAGTATACATGTCTAAAGCATTATTGTATTTTACTTTAAGAGATGAAGTTTTTACTTAAGCTTTATTATTATTATTATTATTATTTTATTTTATTTTGTGGCTTGGTTTGGTGAGTGTTTGCAGCTGAGTATGCAAAGTTGCCATTAATTCCACCATACCTGAATCCTGGATACCATGATGAGCACATTTATGGGGTGAATTTTGCATCAGCTGGAGCTGGGGCTCTGGTTGAAACTAATCAAGGAAGGGTACGTTGTCCTTTTGCTAACTTTTATATCATTAAAGACTTAATGAATGGTAATTTGAATATGGTCACATGACTTGGTTTATGAAGAGCAGGTGACCCTGTTTTAAAAAAAAGAAAAAGAAAAAGAAAAAGAGCAGGTGACCCTTGTACATAATTTTTAATTCTTAATTAAAGGAACGTGGGATACACCACTCCAAAAGCTAGTTCAAAGGGTGGGAGTGCCCAAGGCCACATTAGTTGCACATACAACCAGGGACTATATATCTCAACACGCCCCCTCACACAAGAGTCCATTGGGCTCGAAGAGTGGACAATGCAACAGACCCAGCCTACCTGCGCTAAGAAACACCACAAGAGAAAGTGGGGGGCGGCGAGGCTTTGATACCATGTAAAGACCTTGGGATACACCATCCCAAAAGCTAGCTCAAAGAGTGAGAATACCGAAGGCCACATTAGTTGCACGTACAACCACGGACTATATATCTCAACAAAGGGAGTGGTATTAGATTAAAAGGGGGTGAAATGTAGCACCCAAATAACCTGTTTACAAAGCAAGAAATTAAACTTACTGAAATTCATAAAGAAAGAATAAAAATTGTTGATCCAATATAAAAATAATAATTTGAAATTAAATGGTTGATTATCATATTAATACTGTTGAAATTCTACACAGTATCGTTGAGTTAAATGTAAAATGGGAGTTGGGTAGAATCAATTTTTTCCTTAATATTTTTTATGCATAAATTAAGAGTTGGACCAAGTAAATTCTTTAAGTATACCATTAATAGTGCTTCTACGTGCCCTGTGTGCACTCATGAGTCATGATTTAGTGCATATATAATGTAAGGAAAATATAGCGAGAAGTTTTCTTCTCCTGCAATGAATTAACATTATGTATTACGGGTATTACATAGTTATAATTTTATAAACAATTTTTTTTCTTTCTTCTCAAAGATCGTCGGTTGACATGACGAAGAGAGAAAAATCAAATTTAATATTACAATTATGTATTACCCGTAATACATAGTGTTAATTCATTACATGAGAAGTCTCTTCTCTTACGACATGAGAAGTTGGGTACCATAATAAAAACTCTTATTTTAGCTAAGATATTTGTAAGTTTTGTATTATCAATTCTCACACTACATTCAAAATTGGTTCTTATGTATGTAAGCTTTTTTTCCCTTTTAGGTGATAGACCTAAAAACTCAGGCACTGTACTTTGCACAAGTAAGCAAGCTATTCAGGCAGAAACTAGGAGAAAAGGAAGCCAAGAAATTGCAGTCCAGAGCAGTCTACATATTTTCCGTTGGAGTCAATGACTATGCAGCCCCTGTCTTCACAAGCTCCAATGGGAATGGGGTTCTTCCATACCCTCAACAAGAAATAGTGGATTTAGTAATTGGCAACATTACAGCAGTGATCAAAGTACCTTATTATCCACATTAAAAATAGATTAGTGCTTGGTGTGGGAAAGGCTTTTCCCGTTAATTAATTTTTGATTTTTTTTTAAAAGTCCTTACTATTAGAAGCATGGTAGTTAAAAACTCATTTTAAAACTGTACTTTTGGTTTTTTACAAAAAAATTTATCAAAATGTTTTTATTAACATTACAAGCGCTTTTTTTCTTTTTACGATTTTTGATCGTTACAATTTTATGTTTTATGATTTTTTATCTCCTTTCCGTTTTTAACTAACTTAGTAGAAGATTTGAACCTTTGGCCACACTATTGCACTAACTCTTTGTTTTAAAATAATTATTTTCGTCGTACCCAGTTTTTAGTACTTAGTTATTTTAATGATTGATTTTTTATTTTTTTTGTAGAAAATTTATAATGAAGGTGGAAGAAAATTCGGGTTTCTAAATGCGGTTCCTGCGAATTGCATTCCAGGTCTGAGGATATTTGTAAATGGGACTTCAATAGATGCATGCCTGGAACAAGAAGCTTCAGCACTTGCAAGGCTACACAATAGTGCACTTTCCAAAATGCTTCAGAAGCTTGAGAAACAGCTCAAGGGATTCAGATACTCAATTACTGACTTCTACAATGCAATTATTGAAGTAATTAAATACCCTTCAGAATATGGTATGTGCTCTTCAACTATATATATATATATATATATATATGGCCTAGTTTTTACCGATGAAAAAAAGAGAAACTGCATCATTTTTTTTTGTAACTATTGCTTTCTATTTTTTTTTTTGCTGGTAAGGTTTCAAAGAAGGGAATACAGCTTGTTGTGGAGGTGGACCTTACAGAGGAGATTTTAGTTGTGGAGGGAAAAGGGGGATTGAAGAATATCAGCTATGTAGCAATGTTAATGACTATGTGTTCTTTGATTCTTTACATCCCACGGAGCATGCTGCTGAGCTTTTCGCCAAGTTAATGTGGAGTGGAAATAGAGATGTCATTGAATCTTACAATCTGAAACAGTTGTTTGGCATTTGAAGACTAGCTACTTAAATGTAGTCCGTCACAGAATAAAATAAAAAATAATAAATTCTAAGGTCATTATTATTCTGTGTATAATTTCATATTTTATGCTATAAATAGCATAATAAAATGGATCAATGGATCACATTTCAAACGTCTTTTCATGCATGGTTTTCTATGTTAATAGAAATAGCAAAATAGAATCATATTTGAAGTTTGAACAGATATACAGAAACTAGCAACATGTAAAGTTTTTCTTAAAATCTTTATTCTTCACAATTATTTCTGAAAGCTGGTGCTTTAGGTTGTGAACCAAGCGATGGAGCAACGAATGATGGTTGTGCTGAAAATTTATATAAAGTACTTGAGAAGTTAGAGATATCAAGTTATTACCAGGATTTAGATATTCAATATTTGATTATTACCAACCATACACTCACTTGGAAACAGAGTAAATAGCCCTCTGATGTATGGTAGGCTTTGGCCATAAACTTCACACTAGATTGTTTGCAGTTTTGATAGTCAATTTACTTGAATAATGTTTTTTTGGTTTTGGTTTGCCAACCAGTTCATCCACTTTTGGAATATAAATTTGCATCAATACTTAGATATAGTGTTGATAAATATCTTTTAAAAAATGACTAAAACCGCTCCCCATAAAATTCCAATTTGATAGTAACAAAAATGTTATTTTCTGGATTTGAGCCGGTAATCTTTTAATTATAAAGAAATAATTCTATCACTATTTTTTCCTCTTAAAATTAAAATTAAAGAAAGTGGAGGTACGTAACTAACGAACAGGTTCCTCTAAATACCCCACATCATCGGTACCCCTGTAACACTCCGTTCTAGAACCGGTTTGTTAACATCACATTATGATATTAAGCGCAGTTACAATCACATGGTTCAATTAAAATCCGGTTAAATTTTTCTTTTTAAAACATGCTGAATTTAGAATGCCCAATTGCGTGATCATAACCGTATTACGTTGCGGAATAAAATAAATTAAGCTTAACATCATACTCTTATCCTTAGGCCAGACGTTGTTAAATATCTTCCTCTATTCATTAGCTACGCGTGGTTTCGAACCGCACCTCATTTGGAGCACTGTAGCTCGCGTTATGACAAATTAGAGCAACATAAGTGTGTGTTGGACACAGGCCCCGCGCGCTTAAGCACGCTATCGGGCGCTCAAGCGCGCGTTATCGGGCGCTAAGCCTCCATCTGGGCGCTTAAGCGCACGGAGGCCGAGAGCATCAGGTTTTTCAGCATCAATGGGCGCTTAAGCGCGCACCAGGGCGCTCAAGCGCGCTATCCTGGGCGCGTAAGCCCCCATTTGGGCGCTCCAGCGCGCAGAGGCAGAGAGCATGGGCTCTCACAGGGGCAGCAGGGCGCTGGAGCGCGCTCCTGGGCGCTTGAGCGCGCTGCCAGGGAATTCCAACACCCTCATTTTTCAAGTCTAATTATAGGGAAGGTGCATTTCCATTTTACAAGCCACACTTGTTCAATCATCTAAACTTAACCCTAGCACTTTTCCAACCTCTCCTCATGGCTTATACTAAAATTTGGGCAGCATAACCTTTGTTTTCTCAACATTTCCCAATTTAGCACTAGGTACCTAATTTAGTTTCCAGCTCAACAATCCAATACATAAAGAGCATGCATATATTGAACTTAAAGTAATCATCAATTACAGATCATGTTTATTACAAATCCTGGAACTTAGCTTACAAAACACTACGATCACTCCCTTGGCTCCCATCAACAAAAGAGATAATCAAAGGCATGAGCATAGGCTAAGTTCATTCCAAATACACAGAATCTACATCCATCCATTGGCTATCAATTAACAATCCTATACATGTGAACTACAAAATGACATGTATAATATCAAAAGACAGGATCCTCATGCATCACTACTAGTCCAAGTATGGCCATTTGCCACTGTTGGCTCCTGCAACATACTTACCTGAAAGGGGGTCCCCACAACACGGGGTGAGATATACGAATATATCCAGTAAACCAGGGGTCCTTGGAGCATCTCTCCACCCCACAGTTCCAAAAACAGTGTAATAGCAATAACAATAATAATGCAGTAAATACATATCTATGCAAAGTGTAAACAACATCTCCAGGAGAAATCCCTCGAGCTCTCAAGCTGTCCTAAGGATACTCAGATGCAAATAGTCCTACTGGCCAGCTAAACTACCGAGTATGATTTACGCATCGTCAGACAACATACCAACATAGGGAAACACCATCCTATGCCACATCAAATGCATACACAAACGTATAACAAAACATTAAACTATTTCATTGCATTTATATACACTATCAACTACCACTACCCTTTCAGGGCTTGGTGGAACAATTGTTGGGAAATTCGTTCCCTCAAACTCCAATGTCAAGCGGATCTAGGGGAAGCCCGTGGCGGGGGGCCACCACCAATGAGCTAAGGCTACACCAATCGTAGCAAGTGGATCCGACACCATGTCTCAACCCAAAACCTTAAGGCATTGGGTTCATGGGTCCTTTCACTTATATACTCTTCACTTAGCTCATTACCAACCAATGTGGGACTCATCACACTTGAATATCTCAACAATCTCCCCCTCAAGTGTGAAACCCACCATTGGTATGCTCCCCCTCAACCGAGTACCCGAAGCGCAAAGTACTCGACCCGCCTCCTAGCCAATCACTAGTCTAGCTCGAGCCCAATCCGGCTCTGATACCACTGTTGGAAAATTCGTTCCCTCAAACTCCAATGTCAAGCGGATCCAGGGGAAGCCCGTGGCGGGGGGCCACCACCAATGAGCTAAGGCTACACCAACCGTAGCAAGTGGATCCGACACCATGTCTCAACCCAAAACCTTAAGGCATTGGGTTCATGGGTCCTTTCACTTATATACTCTTCACTTAGCTCATTATCAACCAATGTGGGACTCATCACACTTGAATATCTCAACAACAATCAAGGGAATTACACCCAAGGTCCGAAGGCTTACCTCAAAGCTTCAGTTCAACCTTTGTTCACCACCAACAGGTTCAGCAACCAATCAACTCTGGTTTCAACTATGACTTACAAGTAACACACCTACACCAAGGTGTCATAGCATCAATCATACTATCCAATGAATATTTACATATATCCATTACTACCAAATCAACTCTACATTTTAACTTAGCACGAGCTTACCTATTCCAAGAGCTAATCAAGCTCCATAGCTTGCTCCAATGGTTGCTCACTCACGGTTGGTCCAAATGCCTCAATCCTAGACATCACATGAACACAATAATTATTCAACCAATGACTATCTAAGCTCATTTTCACCGATTAAATGCCATTACTAACATTTCTCATAACATACGCTAAGCTCCAATACTCCTAGAACATAGCCAATCTATCAACATTTCATAAAAATCCTAAAACACTATTCATAGAACCCTAACTCATGCAAAACTAAGGAATTTTGTGTGAAAGAGAGTGGAAAACTCACCACCAAGGATCACACCACAATGGAAATGTTGCCCCTCAAGCTTCCATGGAGGTAGAAGCCATCAAACACCTCAATTTATCCAACGGGCCGAATTTTTGGAGGAGGATATCCCACTCCTCAACGCTCTCCACTAAAAACTAAGCTAGGATTATGAAAGAGAGGAAAGTTCTAGGTGATTTAGATTTTTGAATCACTCAAATCGGTGAAGATTTGCTCACTCTTGGTTCTCTCTTCCTCTCCTTCTCTTCTTCTTCCTCTTCTTTCCCTTTCTTCTCCTCTTCTGTTTCTCGACGGGCAGGGGTGGGAAGTGGGTTCTTTTTGTGGCTTGGTCACTTAACATATGTTAAGTGACTTTAAGCGGGTATTGGTTCGTCTATCTATTCAACTCCATTAATTACCAAACTTTACCCAAAAGTCTGAAATATTTTTCTATGAATATTTCTAATTTTATTTTTATATTTTAGGTACTTTTGCCTGCACCCATTTATACCCCTTAATTTTTACTGAGTACACTTTTTATCTCAAAAGTGACCCCAAATAATTTAATTAGACCTTATACTTAATTTTACTCTCTAATATATGCTTAATTATTTAATTACACGTAATTTACTAATTAATTAGGTTAGAGCTATTATAATACCTCTACTCCAAATTTAGTTATTGATTTTAACACTTTGATTTTCATTAAAGTCGCTGTGCCTCCACTTTATTCTATATATCCTTTCACTTTCTTATGCTAGGTCGTGTAAAGCCTTCGTACATTATGTCCTCTATGTCAAATTAAGGGTTCTTTTATTCCTACATTTAATTTCTACACCAAATTCCTTGTACCTTCTTCAATACTCATACAAGATAGAGAAAAGAATAAGCATTACCAAAAAAGTGTTGGTGCATGCAGGTCAGTTATAAATAATCTATTCCAGTTATAAATATTAGTTGCACCTACCATCATTAATGCTGAGATTAGAATATTCTGAAAAATTTCACAAAATCCTTTGTAACCTTGAGATAAAAAATGTACTGTCAAAATCTAGCTATTGATTGATTATATAGAAGTACCACCAGTATAAATAAATATGATTTCTATTATTTTACATTAAATTAAAAGAAAGATAGATTTACTGTAAATAAAAGTAACCTCTATTTTGCTTCTAACATATCCTCCTCCTAACACTATATAGTGATTGCCAAGTGAACTAGGATTTACATCATGCATGGCAAGTTTAAGGGTATCTGTGTGTATGTTGGTTCTCTATCTGAGCACTTTCATTCACAACTCTGTTCTCTCACTTTCCCAAAGCAGCAGCCTGCCAGAGAACCACAGAGCCCTATTCATATTTGGAGACTCACTATTTGATCCTGGAAACAATGATTACATCAATGCCACCACTTTTCTTCAGGCTAACTATCCCCCATATGGGGAAACTTTCTTCAAGTACCCCACTGGAAGGTTTTCTGATGGACGTATAATCCCAGATTTCATTGGTTTGTTTCCACTGACTAGTAGTATACATGTTTAAAGCATTATTGTATTTTACTTTAAGAGATGAAGTTTTTACTTAAGCTTAATTATTATTATTATTATTATTTTTGTGGTTTGGTTTGGTGAGTATTTGCAGCTGTGTATGCAAAGTTGCCATTAATTCCACCATACCTGCATCCTGGATACCATGATGAGTACATTTATGGGGTGAATTTTGCATCAGCAGGAGCTGGGGCTCTGGTTGAAACTAATCAAGGAAGGGTATGTTGTCCTTTCGCTAACTTTTGAGAAATTGTATATCATTAAAGACTCAGGTTTTTAATTCCAATTTGGTAATTTCAATTTGGTCACATGACTTGGTTTATGAAGAGCAGGTGATTCTTGTACATAATTTTTAATTCCTAATTTAGGAAGTGGTATTAGATTAAAAGCGGAAAAAATATAGCACCTAAATCACCTGTTTACAAAGCAAGAAATTAAACTTGTTCAAATTCATAAAGAAAGAATCAAATTGTTTATCCAATATAAAAAAAAATTAATTTGAAATTAAAAGGTTGATTATCATATTAATATTGTTTGTTAGAGAATTATATAAATTATTGGTGGGCCTTCACTTAAAAGCTTAACCATTAATGTAACTATTGGGTGAGGCTACATTAATAGTTTTTTAGATATGTCTAACACGCCTACTCAACACGAAAATGGGGTGCGGCAAGTATCGAACCCAGGACACTGATGCTCTGAAATCATATAACCAATCAATTTAACCCAAAAACTTAAGTTGTTAAGTAAAGGTCCATTAATAGTTTATATACTTCTTTAACACTCCCCCTCACACCCTAACACAAGAACTCATTGGGCTTGAAGGGTGGATGATGTACAGGTTCACCTACCTGAACTAAGAATTCTAGAAGAGAAATAGGGACGGTGAGGATCGAACCCGTGACATCGAGGCTCTGGTTCCATATAAAGAACCAATTCAACTTAACAGCTTAAGTTAGCTATTGAATGAGGCTACATTAATGATTTTTTATATATCTCTAACATTGTTAAACGTCTACAAACCAAGTAAATTTTTTAAGTATACCATTAATATTGCTTCTATGTGCACTCATGATCTAGTGCATATATAATGCAACCTCTTATTTTAGCAGAGATATTTGTAAGTTTTGTATTATCAGTTCTCACACTACATTCAAAATTGGATCTTATGTATATAAGCATTTTTTCTCTTTTAGGTGATAGACCTAAAAACTCAGGCACTGTACTTCGCACAAGTTAGCAAGCTATTCAGGCAGAAACTAGGAGTAAAGGAAGTAAAGAAATTGCAGTCCAGAGCAATCTATATATTTTCCATTGGAATCAATGACTATGTAGCCTATACAGGGAATGGGGTTCTTCCATACACTCAACAAGAAATAGTGGACTTAGTGATTGGCAACATTACAGCAGTGATCAAAGTACCTTAAGATTTGAACCTTTGGCCTTACTATTGCAGTAACTTTTTGTTCTAAAACAATTATTTTCTCCAGTTGTTAGTACTTAGTTATTCTAATGATTGATTTTTTATGTAGAAAATTTATAATGAAGGTGGAAGAAAATTCGGGTTTCTGAATATGGTTCCTATTAATTGCATTCCATTTCTAAGGAGATTTGTAAATGGGACTTCAATAGATGCATGCCTGGAACAGGAAGCTTCAGCACTTGCAAGGCTACACAACAATGCACTTTCCAAAATACTTCAGAAGCTTGAGAAACAGCTAAAGGGATTCAGATACTCAATTACTGACTTCTACAATGCACTCATTAAAGTAATTAAATACCCTTCAGAATATGGTATGTGCTCTTCAACTGAATATATATATATATATATATATATAGATGGCTTAGTTTTTACCAAAGAAAAAAATAGCAAACTGCATCATCTTTGTTGTAACTATTGCTTTCTATTTAATTTTTTGCTGGTAAGGTTTCGAAGAAGGGAATACAGCTTGTTGTGGAGGTGGACCTTACAGAGGAGATTTTAGTTGTGGAGGGAAAAGGGGGATTGAAGAATATCAGCTATGTAACAATGTTAATGACTATGTGTTCTTTGATTCTGTACATCCCACGGAGCATGCTGCTGAGCATTTCGCCAAGTTAATGTGGAGTGGAAATAGAGATGTCATTGAATCTTACAATCTGAAACAGTTGTTTGACATTTGAAGACTAGCTACTTAAATGTAGTCCGTCACAGAATAAAATAAAATATAATAAATTCTAAGGTTATTATTATTCTGTGTATAATTGCATATTTTATACTATAAATAATTATATAAATAGCATAATAAAATGGATTAATGGATCACATTTCAAACGTCTGATCATGCTATGTTAATAGAAATAGCAAAATAGAATCATATTTGAAGATTGAACAGGTATGCAGTAACTATATAGCAACATGTAAAGTTTTTCTTAAAATCTTTATTCTTCACAATTATTTCAGAAAGCTGGTGCTTTAGGTTGTGGACCAAGCAATGGAGCAACAAATGATGATTTGCTGAAAATTTATATAAAGTACTTGAGATCAAGTTACCAGGATTTAAATGTTCAATATTTGATTATTAGAATACACTCACTTGGAAACAGTGTAAATAACCCTCTGATGTATGGTAGGCTTTAAACAGAGTAATTATTGATATAATTGTAGGGAAGATCAATCAAATTAGAAAATGATTTATTACTGTGAATAGGTCAGGCTTGTGTGGAAAATGTGAAGTAATCACATGTAAAGGGGCCCATGTGCACTTAGGTCAGGCCATTTAGCCTAGCGATTTTATAGCGGTCCGGGACCAAAAAGTATAGGATGGGACTAAGGTGAGAGAAAGAGAGAAAAAGGTGAGGAGAGAGGAGAGAGAAAAGAAAAAATAAATAAATAATACAGGTGTCAATTTTTGAATGAAAAGACCATGATGGTCCGGGAGTATATTAAAAATTTCCCATTTAGCCAATCCAATCCAAAATATTTATTTTCTGGATTCGAACAATTTAATGACAGATCCAAACTCATCCTCGTAAAATTAAAATTGAGGAGGAAGAATTTGCTCCAAGATCCTTTGCAGAACCTGAGTATGGTGCACTAGCATAACATGTTGTAGAGTCCTGTAGGTAATTACATTACACGGATTGCTTATGAAGCTTCCCATTCTATCTTGTACATTTCGTTCTCCATTCTCACAATATTTCAGGAACTTCCCTCTCTATACATCCCATGCCAGGGCAAACAATTTGGAAATTTACTTGCATTTTGTTACGGAACTGCATAACAATGATGCACCGACACGGACACGGGACACGACACTCCGACACGTTAATTCTAAAAAATATTAAATTTCGACACGTTTTGATATTAAAATTTAAAAAATATTTTTAAGATGCAAAAGTATATTTAAATATATATATATATATATATATATATATATATATTATGTATAATAACATATAAAAATTATATTTAAATCAGTACTGAATTTAATTATTTAAGAATAGATAACAGTTTGGAACTAATTTATAGATTTATTCCACTCAGTCAAGTTGAAAAATGATAATAAGTTACTCTAATGTTACTAGCTAGGGCGGTCGTAATATGCTTGGTATTCACATTAGGATACCTTTATAAAGTATTTCTCCATATAATTCACCAATAATCCCTGAGCATTTGGAGATTTCGTTGGTAGTTTTTTTTTCAAGTAGTGTTCCCGTCCATTTGGATGAAACTAA